AAAAAAAAAAAAAAAAAAAATGGCATAAAAACCTTTAGGGTGATGAAAAATAGGCTGAAGGATAGTACGGCTGATGCCAAACAATATAAACACAACTCCCCACCAAATTCAGTTCTGAGAATATACAAGAAATATGCACTAGCAACTGCCATAGAGGTCGTTATTCCAATTAAAACAATTTCACCATCTGTTTTCTTAGCACCGAAAGGCCTGTTCTTTGCATCCATTTGTAAACCAAGAGTTGCGACTAAACCATACGCAAGCATGCCAAATAATGGAAGAGGAATGCCTGCCAACAAGGAAATAAACCGTAAGTTTCTTCCAAAGAACTTGCAGGAAAATAGAGACAGATTTTGCTTCCAACAAAAAATTGCCAGCAGAAATAATATTCTCTGGAAGTGCTAACAAAGGTGCTGCACAGATGAGAATGATACCGCCAAAAATATGATATTTTGAATGATGAGGCCAAAAATAATTTCAGGGTGACTGAAAGAGTTTTTCATTAAAACAATTCGTCACACAACTGTGAAGAATGTTTAGAATGTTAAGATCAAGAAAACTAAAGAGCGACATCTTTATATGTGTTCTCATTCTACTTTAATCATGTTTATGGAACATAAAGATCTTTCTTTCAGTCAATTCACTTCAAAAACTCATTTTATCTCTTTTAGATAATAAAACCACTGTAGAACTATTAACGCTCGAGAAGCAACAGTGAACATCCACACCGGATATGAACAAAAATATGAAATATGTACGTACACATAGTGGTGTGTTCATCTTAAGGTACTGTATTTATGCTAGCTAGTCTATTTATTAGATGGACTCAACTTGGAAACAGCAGAATTTCACGAATTCCAGATTCATTTTAAATCTATTTAAATACCATTCAACCAACACATAGAAGAAATTAGTTATATTTCAGGTTCCAAAACCCTTAAAGCTTTTACTCTAGCTCTCACTCATCTCACAATCATATATATTCACACTGCAGGCAGAGCAAGCACCAGATCCAAATGATTATTTTTCTTTTTCAGACTCCCTTGTCTCTATAACACAAAGGAAACCGAATCTCAAGTGAATATATAACCCTCCAAAGTCAGAACATCACAAGCAATTTTTATTTTTTTTATTTTTTTTAAAATAAATGGAAATTACAGAAGATAACTACATAGATAACAAGAAAACCCACTGCAGAACACAAATTCATAACACACAGGCAACCATAAGTAACTAATTTTCACATTATCAGCATAAGTTAAGCCAAGTACCAAAAATGGATGAATAGGCGCTTGTGAGGATGGTAGTGCAAGATCCTCCTCCCATGGGACAGAAGGCATCCGAATCCGTGAGCTTAAGGTAAGTCAAATATGCTGTCTCAAGGAACCCAAATCCTCCGAGAGCCGCACACCATTTGTAAGCCGTGATGCCCGCGTCATCAACAACGTCATTGACAAAAGAAGATGAAGAAGATTCCATAGAAGAACTCGAAGAGGACGATCCCAATTTGGACTCGGTAGTCTGCTCCCTGCGGTCTGACACGCAATTCACTTGAACCAACAAATTACCATGCCCCCAAGCTCCTCTCTACCAATCAAAATGCAATTACAGTCATCATCAATCGAATCGTAATCCGAGAGAAGACGATAAAAGGTAGTAGCTCTTACCGTGAATTGGGGATGAGGAAGAGCGGTAGAGAGATGAGGAGATGAGAGAAATGGAGTTGGACGGAAGTGAACAGAAGAGGATGATGACATGCTGAAGAAGCTACACATCCTGCCGCCACAATCAGCTGCCGCGGCTGGGTTTTGTGTTCGCATACAAATATCTACTTTCTACTTGGTGGCGATGGCTAGCTACCTAAGATCAAATAAATCGTTATTTACACTGTGAAATGCACGGGTTTTATTATTTTCGATTTTCTTAAAGGACATTTTGTATTCGAATTCAAATCTATATTATCCATATTAAAAGTCAACCTATTTATCAAAAACAGTAACAAGAAAAGTCAACACACATTTAATGCATATTTTATTTGGAATTTTTTTACTATCCAAATATGATCTTAAACATTTTTCCTTAAATAATTTATGCAATAATTTTACTGATATCCATTATAATTAATATTTGTCGAGTAATATTTTTTAACCTTTATTTAATTATCTAGCACTAATATTTTTTAAAAATTAATATTGTTTATTATTTAAAAGATAATGATCACATCATTAAATGATTTTATTGATGGTTAGATAATAAAATTATATTAGCTATTCTTTAAAATTTCGACATTGTTATTTATTTGTATATTATTGTCAACTATGATAGTGTTTTTATCATTTTTTTTTTTGTTATGTTAAAAAAAATGAACTTATTGTAAAATATTTTCTATTGCATAGTATGTTAAATAAACTATAAAGCCTTAGGATGAAAAAAAGAATTATTATGAGAAAATTGAATTCTAAAAAACATGTGTGTGTATTTTGTAAACATTTATACTCAAAATTTTATTTTGAATTTCATTACATAAAGAATACTACTTCTATAACTTTTAGAAATAATAATAATTACATTATATGAGTGTAAATTTTATAATAAAATAATTGAGTATTATATGGTGAACAATAATTAATAAAATTTGTATTTTTTCTTATATCAATGAATAAATATGTATTCTAAAATCAAATAAATATTAGTATGCGTGTTAGCGGAATTATATATTAATTAACATGTTAATTTTTTGGCTTAAATAAACGCAACTTATTAAAAGATGTGAAATATGGATGATCCAAGCCTATTGTTTTTTTTTTTTATCTTGAATGCAAGATATTGACTGGTGATCATGCTGGCGACACAGTGTTGATTCCTAGAATGAATATTACTCCTTATGGTCTTAGGGTTCCATTTAAGTTTCAGCGGCGGCAGTTCCCACTTATGGTTTCGTATGGTATGACCATAAACAAGAGTCAGAGACAGTCTTTATCCCACGTTGGTCTTTTTCTAAAGAAGTTTGTCTTTAGTCATGGTCAATTATATGTTGTTGTTTCGCGTGTGACTAATAGAAGGGGGTTGAAGATATTAGTTTGTGAGAATGAGAAGTTACCCGATAATCAAATTCATAATGTTGTGTACAAGGAGGTCTTTAATAATATATGATTGTTTCTTTTTTCAATACTGTTATATTGTACAATTTTTCTGTGTATTGTACAACTTTTATTGAATATTGCATATTAAATTATAATACTCCTCACATGAATATATCCCGTGTCTCGCACAAGTCACGTACTATATATATCTCGTATATTTTTTTATTCATTTATATAATTATAAGGCTGAATATATGGCCTTAAAATTGTGCACACCGTGCATCGCACAGGCTCTGTACTAGTTATATAATAAAGCAACAATCATGATTATAATCAAACCTAATAATAAATACTTAAAATAGAATATGTTTAATAATTTGTATGGGTTTGTATATAGGAATGTGTTTGAAAAATGTGGGCTTCACATAATTTTTAAAATAAGAACAAGGAAAATGCTACAATTTTTAAAATAAAAACAAGGAAAATGCTACATGTACATAATAAATATACATAGAGGTGTACATAATACTCACGTGGGGTGAGATCTACTTAATTTTTTATTTTTAGTGGGTCCCACTCAATGTGAGTGTTATGTACACCATATATACAATATTATGTATTTATAGCATTGCTCTACAAACAAAGCCAATTTACAACGGGGGCTTCGAAAGTTCATGTCGGCCCAAACAAAGTAAAAAAATAATCCAGTGATCCAGATTAGTGAACATAAAGCGACGGTTTTGATTACACTAAATATAGTATTAGATAGCGAAATTATCGAACCAAGGGCTTCATTTCTTTCTTCATTTTTTGCCGCTTCCGGCTTTTTCTTTTGTCTTTTTTAATCGATCTTCTTCCAAGTTTTCCGTCCTAACACTGAAGGTCTTAGAAATTAGAAATGTATGTTTTTATGTTGTTTTCATTGAATTGATGTTTTAGATTAGTTGTTTTAGGTGTTCTGCACGGAAACAAAACATGGATTATTCAATTTGAGAGTTTTTATCTTTTATTTTTGTAGTTTTATCTTTGACAATTAATTATGTGATATCAATTGATTTTTGGAAGAAATAATTGGTTTTGTACCAATTTAACGATTCTATTTTTCGTAAGTAGAAAATTTAGAAAATTCTCAAAACCTTTGTAAGGTGAATGAGAAATTAATTCTAAGTGTAATATGTTAATTAATTGAGTTTAAATAACTCAAAGGTTGTAGGGTTCAAAAATATTCTGTTTTGACAAATGTTTGGACAAACTAAACGAGCCATAATTATGCATTATGTATGCTAGAATTGTACAAGGGCTCGTTGGGGACAAGTAGGAAAAAACAGAATTTGATTCTGAGTTTGTATGAGCTTGTACGAGCCCGCGGCGTACGGACGCGCAATTAAATGCAATAATCAAAGTGTCGCGACCCTTGGTGACCATAAGGTGTCTTTTGACCACTAGATGCATTCGTTCTCGTTTGGACATGTCCCAATAGGTGTTTTTTGACACTCAAACCTTTTGGAGGTGTTTCTCTACATCTATAAATACCAACAAATATGAAATCGTCCAAATGATCAAATTTTCAAGATCTCTTTGCGTCCTTTTACAAAGTTCATAATCAAGTTGTATTCTTTGTGTTCTTTTCTATCTTGAGAGTTCCAAAACATAAGTATTGTTCGCTGAAAGTTTGTGTATTTGAGTTACCGTTATACAAAAACCATAAGTCGTTGTATCTTGGAGGCGTTAGCCGTGAACCGTGGGTAATAGACAGGGCTATTTCGTCTTAAGAAGAGCGTGTCTTACGTGCCTCGACTTTATTTGTTTTACCATTTTTCTTTTGATTTCTTAAGCCATTTTCTTGAATTTCATATACCAAATATAAACTACAATCTTAAGACGTAATATTGTGAGTTCATAAGATGACAACCAGAGAAAACAAAACAAATTCTCAACCTACCGCTATACCAATGGTAGTCGCTCCCATCCAAGGCAATAGACCACCAAAGTTTAATGGTTCTGATTTCAAGAGGTGGCAGCAAAAGATGCTTTTCTACCTCACAACTCTCTCCCTCTCTCGTTTTCTTTCAGAGGACCCTTTGATCGTCCCCGAAAGTGAGATCGACGTGCAAAAGCGTACGACCTTGGATTCTTGGCATCAAAACAATTTCTTGTGTAGAAATTATATCCTTAACGGACTAGACGACTCTCTTTATATTGTCTATAGTCCGATTAAGACAACAAAGGAGTTTTGGAATTCCTTGGAGATGAAGTACAAGAAGGAAGATGTCGGGATTAATAAATTTCTTGTCGGCAAGTTCGTAAAGTATGTAATGTTGGATTCCAAGTCGGTGGTTAGCCAAGTCCATGAGATTCAAATAATCTTTCACGATTTGTTGGCCGAAAGATTGATGGTGAATGAGGCCTTCCAAGTTGCGGCTGTTGTTGAAAAGTTACCACCACTTTGGAAGGACTTCAAAAACTATCTCATGCATAAACGCAAAGAGATGACATAGGAGGACTTGGTTGTTCGACTTCGAATTAAGGAAGATAATCGAAAATCTAAAGTAAGGGCCAACCAGAGTGACTTAGAGGCTAAGGAAAACTTGGTCAGGTCAAACTCCAATAAGAAGCGCAAGAGAAATTCAAAGGGAAAACAACCACAAACGAGTACCAAGAAGTTCAAAAGGAATTGCTACGATTGTGGTAAATCTGGGCATCTTGTGAAAGATTGTCGTCTCCCGAAGAGAGGTAAAGATAGCGCGCATATAGCCGAGGACAAATTTGTTCCCATTGACTTATTTGAGCTCGATCTCACCGCCGTGGTCCAAGAAGTTAACTTGGTTAATAATCCACGAGAATGGTGAGTTAATACAGGAGCAACTCGGCATATTTGTTCCCACGAGAATTCATAAACCCGATTTTCATAAGGTTCTCATTAACCCAATTCACAACATCTCACAAGTTATTTAGCTTAATCATGACAACATAATAATCAAAATAAAAATAATACTCAACGTAACAAGCATCATGAATATCCAAAACATCAAAATATCTCAAGTGCCACAATTCAAAACATAAGTTTGAAAATTTGTTCTACATGTCTCAACAATCTTAAACAAGAGTTCACATAAAGCGGAAGCAAATGCAATAACTAAATGACCACCCACTCGTCTTTGCCTCATCATCTGTCTCCTGCTTAACCTGGATCCGTGAAGAGCAGGTGTGAGTGAGCATAAATCAAACTGTAGTGCTCACTACTATGCACATAGATAATATAAAATGTTAAGATGGTATGGTTGCAGCATGAACATAAATCAATCAACATCATGTCTCATCTCCTAGCAATAACACGCTAACAATCTTACTCATGTGCACACCTTTCATTAGCCGCGGAAAGGGGCTGCATAAACCCTAACGACAGGAGTGCGTGCCACTATAACACGACCTTTCATTAGGACTTAAGAAGACTTGCCTCGCAAGGGCAACCGTACCGTAACTCGACGAGGACAGCCGTACCGACGACCGTAACAGCTCACATAGATAGGCTACATGGTTTACATGCATACATTGATCATACCGACTCAACAAACATAACACATATGGCATAGATAATTTTCATAAATAAATCCACCTGGAAATTGCGGTGGAATATTGCACACAAAAGAAAGTACGTAGGTCGAGGTCTCGACTCCTCAAACACCTACTTATGGGTCTCCTCCTATATCTAGAGTGAACTGGTGGAAATGAGCTCC